GTTTCCCGTTTCCCGTTTCCCGTTCCCCGTTCCCCGTTCCCCGTTCTCCGTTACCAGTTTTAGTAACATCCGACTATCAGGGATAAAAGAAGCTACATTAGTGAAATTTAGATCAGGTTAACGTACTCAGTTCAAGACAACTAAGTATACTAAGTAAAACCTTGAAGCTGATGTCGTTCCTTGAGGTGGAATAGGCCTTGAAAAAGAATACCTATTAACCTTGCCCGTCCACATTCGAATATTAGGGACCTTAAGATACGAGGACGGGAAGGCCAGGACGGGAGCCGCAGTGGACGCGGGAAACTTTCGCGGGTCCCGTCGTGTCGCCAAAGACAAAATGCTTAAGATGTGTATTTTCGTAAAGGACAGCGACTATGATAATTTGAGCTTCGCAAAAGCTTTTCGTAAAAGCAATGACATCCTTTAGACTAAAGAGATGATAGAAATCTTGTCCTATTAAGCTTAAACGATGGTGAACAGTCGATGCTGAATTTACTCTTCTTTATAAGCGACGCAAACATCTCTATCAGTTTTTATTTGTAATAAAGAAACCGGAATCTCCGTACGAAATATTAAACGAACAATCTAATCGACCTGCTTCAGATGGCTTTTTACCACCGAGCATTTGAGAATCCTGTCGAAGGAGAATCCTGACATAGGGCGAATATTTCAATTTCCATCTGTAACTGTAACAAGCATTATAAAAATAAAACAAATATTACATCAAGTTCCGGGTAGTTAAAAAAAACACAACAACAACTAAAGATCACTTTGAAAATGTGAATTTTATTTGCTCGACAGATGCTTTCATGGCAATCATTCTTGCAACGTGTTATCGACCTCGAGACTATACTTACACTGCTGTTTTCTCAATGCATACAGTTTGTATTTCGTTTTGAGCTTGCACACTCGTGACCGCGACCGAACAGTGACTGAAACACAAACGAACAGACAAGGAATATTTTTATTCACATTTTTTTTTTGTATTTCAACGTTGTATTTCTACACTAGAATCACGAAAAATGTGCACCTAATAAACATTCTCACCAATATAACTGAAAATAATGTCCATTGGAACATTAGCCAGGGCAAAACAAGGGCAAAATAGTCTCTCACGTTTTCCATACGACGGCTAGTCGAGCGAAATGGCGTCCTCGACGAGACGACGACGGCAGAGAGATGAATCGAGAATTCTCGTGCGCATGCCCGTTTGAGTAAATTTACTTCTGTCCTAGCTCGTCCCGTCCTCGTATCTTAAGGTCCCTATTTTCCCTTGAACGAGGCAACAAGGGCTAATTTGCAAGCAAACAAAAGAACACTAAAATGGCGGCCATTTTGGAATAAGGTGTATGTATGTGTCATGAATAATTGTAACCAAACGTGCGCTGACTCATGTGCCAAACTACTTCTGGTCCAGAATAATCCCAAGCCACGAAAACCATAGTTTTGCTCGAACATTAAGTATCCGAGCATATTTTCTTGCCAAATGGAAGATTTTGTTTATATATCAATAAGCAAATTATATCTGTTCCAATCGGTGTACCTTTGACGTGCAGGGGCTCAATATAAATCCCACAAACAAAGCCTTCTTCTAGAGTGGCAGAAATTATGAAATCTTTCCCATTGCTCAAGATCTGTGCTTAATCAGATTTCTTTCACAGTCATGTAAAATGTCATGTACACATCCCTTACTTCTCGCTACAGTGAATGTCAAGTCAGTATTTTAGTCAGCCTTAAATTTCATTTTTTGCCGTGGTGAATGCAGTGAATAGTCTCTGCAATATGAATATTAAATAAATATCATTCACAACTATATCCATCCATTACAGGAACGACTGGAAACAACACAATAATATTCCCTCAAAGTATAATACTGTACAAAGAAGCGATTGTTAAAAAAATTAAACCGGTAAACAGTACGGCATGTCACTAAACGCCACATGTTTTTCTACACCAAGTCCGCTAAATTTTCCAAAACAACAATTGCAAATACACAAGTACAATCGGATGCAAATTTCTAACTCAAATTAAATATCCAATATCTGATAGTAAGTACATGTACTTACTTACTTTTACCATCGCTATACCGTATAACTCTATAATCTTATCAGAGCTACTCACTGGCTTAACCCTGTCCACATCTGTGTCAGCAATGCTGAAGTATCATTCCGTGCTCAACTGTTTGCGTAAAACTGTCGAGTTCCTTAGAAAATAAATTCTATTGTTTTTATGCTTTTCTAAGCAGCCAAGCACCCTATAAGTGAACCGGATTAAATCGGTTGGAATATTTGCATCTTAAGTTATTTACTTTACCTGAATTACGCACACCTACATTTGCATCAGGAAAAAACGGAAAAAGTGTGTGATCGTTTACTTACTGAATTGCTTATGTAAGACTAAAGAGAATAAGTCGATTACGCATCTTGCACGCCTTCGCTGTACAAAGATTTTCCTCTCAACATTTTGTGAGCAGCCTTCATGTATAAATTCAACGGAAGGTTTGGCGAAAGATGTGCGTATAGTAATTAGTGTTAGTAATAACAGTGCGATTTAATTCCTCAAACCACTCAACTTGTTTGCATAAAGCTACGTGTTGTGCTACGTGTTGTTGTTGAGGCAATTAAACAAGACATTTCATTGTTTTGAATC